GTTGAAGTTTACTTCACTTCGGAATATTAATTTACAGATTTGCGCTGCTCCGCTGCCTGCAGCATCTTCACACACAAACACGAAACTTAGTAGAGAAGTGTGAAGTGGGACATAATATACCGCTGTAAATAAATGCAATTTAAATTCACGTCTCGCACACTTAAATGCCCTTCGTATGGAACATATACGCTCCCTTCAAACTGGAATCATGGAGGAATATCCGGTAATGTCCACTCCGCAGGGCACTTACAGCCAAATATAGCAAACGTATGAAGCAATAAGAGAAACATACAAAATGTGCAGAGCGGGGGGCCGCGAGGACTGGAGTTGAGAACCGCTGTTCTAGACATGCCAGAAATCTGAGGCTGCAGCACAGCAGCTCTTCTTCTTGGTTTTCTCTGACGCACTAACTCTGCAGCAGCACTTCTTCTTCGTCGTCTCGTCTGATGCGCTCACTCAACCAAGGGTTCTTACCACGAGCTCGCCCCCCCACCCCCCAACCATTCACATTTCTGTAGGCGGGAATTATGTGTAATGAAATTCTAATGAGCCGCTTTGTGACATCACAAAGCCCGGAAACCAAACGCTGTAGTCCAAACGAGCCGTTCGTTGTAGTTCTTGAAAAGGGATTTTTAAAAAATTAAATATCTCCCTTTGGAGTGGACTTTGAGATTTGTAACTTTCTAGATCTTTTTAATGCCCAAACATACACACTACACACTGACTAAAATTAAAAAAGTGAAAATGTACAAGTCATTGGTGTTTGGTTTTTTTGTTTTGTTTTGAGTTCTAACACACACACACTTAACACAAACAAACACAATCACTTAACACACAAGCACACACTCAAACAAACACACAACCACACACTTAACACAAACGCACACACTCTTAACACACAAACACACACGCACACTCACTTAACACATAAACACACACTCAAACAAACAAACACACACACACACAGTCACACACACAAACTCACTTAACACATAAACACACACTCAAACAAACAAACACACACACTCACACACACACAGTCTCACACACAAACTCACTTAACACAAACACACACTCAAACAAACAAACACACACACTCACACACACACAGTCTCACACACAAACTCACTTAACACAAACACACACTCAAACAAACAAACACACACACTCACACACACACAGTCTCACACACACACAGTCACACACACAAACTCACTTAACACAAACACACACTCAAACAAACAAACACACACACTCACACACACACAGTCTCACACACAAACTCCCTTAACACAAACACACACTCACTTAACACATAAACACACACTCAAACAAACAAACACACACTCACTTAACACACAAACTCTTAACACA